AAGAAAATGTCGCTCCTGAGGTCAATGAGGCATCCCGACGCCATGAGATCCTGGAGAATAACGCCCCAGCGGATGAAATGAATGTGGACGATGAAATGGAGCCCGAGCCTGATGTTGAGACAACACCCCAACATACTGCTGGCAGCTCCTCAATGAATGAGGAATCAGATTTGGATGATGTGGAATGGTCGAGGTGGCAGCGCATCAAGGTGTCAGTGCAGGAGGAGCCTTCTCAAAGCTTCTGGATGCGCCGACTGACGAAAGCCAAGGATTTCCGCAACAAGGAGATCGACATCCACACGAGGACCATGATTGTGAATGAAGACTTCACCAACTCCCGCATCAAGCGGTTCATGGAATCCCACCAACTGGACAACACTGTCCACGTGACGGATGATGAAAATGCTTGCTAGCATCGGCTCTTCAATCGGTGCTTGAAGTTTGTCTACGATGCTGGACAACATGTGAACATGAAAAGGAAAGAAAGGGATGAAGCTACCTATGAGGAGAATTTGATTACGCGGCTGAGCTTTTTGACAAAATTTGTCGGACACCATTGACGTTTGATCCTTCTCTTGGAAGGAACAAGTTTGTGGCTGCCCAGCCGCACGAACATGGAGCACACGAGTTCCATAGCGATTTCTACCCCATGATTCGCTGAAAGGCGAACGATGTGAAGACCATTTGGTGGGCCCCTTTTTGAATATCTTTCGAAATTTAGAATTTTCCATCGGTGACAATGAAGCTAGCGTTCACTGAATGCATTTCATGAGTGGGGACACCTTCCATGTCCCTTTTGCTCAGGTGCAGCATCCGATGCCATCTTTGGGTCAAATAGGGCCCTTGAGTCAACCTTCAGGCACGACACCCGCAGGTTCGCCCGCGACAGAAAGGAGTTCGATCCAGGTCCGTTCGTTGAACGTGTTCTTTGAGTGCCACTTGGACTTCGTGAGCTTTGTGATTTGGTTTGCTTTCACTTTAGCTACCACGAGATCATATATAATAGACAACTATCGCCAAAGCGATGTCCTTCGACCAAAATTAACCTCCCATTTCGGTTCCCTGGTTATCTTCGTGGCTTCCAATGGAATATATCTAGATTATTTTATTATTATATCTGATTATATTGGTATAATTCATATCAATTTAATTTATTATGATTCAGAAATTCGGATGATTCATCATCAATAAATGGAGCAATGAATATTAGAACCTACTTAACCGATCAATTGATGTTATGGCCATTTCGCAAAAGGCCTGGACGATTCGGAATGGTCTTCGTCAGATGTTCACCAAATGTAATCAGGTCTGGACCCAATTGGAATAATATCTTAACCATCTCCCATAGAGGCATCTTGTGCTCGTTTATGATGATTTCAAGAAACCCCTGAATCCCTAAATCATATTTCCCAACTTATTCATACACATGATCCCAAATATGCAGAGGCAATTCACAAACAACTATTTATTCAATTAATTAAGCATTTCGATTTAACAACATTTCATTGTCGTGATAAATTTCATGCCATTTTTAATCATATTTATTGCAAAAAAATAATATTCCTTCGGATCATTAATAATTAAAGGGTTCGATTATAAGCAATATATATATATAACTCCAATAAAACACCTGCCTTTAATCAATAGAAATCCAATCTATCTTTTGTATAAATAACAAATTATAACCAAAATAATCCGATCAAATCAATAATTCATTTTATAAAAGATCATTACCAACATTCCATAAACAAAAACGAAATAATTCAACAATTTTTATGCACAAATCGAAAAGGCAAAAATATATTTAAATACGATATTCAAATTATTCGATTTCGATATATCGTATATCAAAAATATTCAATCAATTTATATCTATATATAAATATAATATAAATAAAACCAAATATTATCCGAACCTGCCAATATAACCTAATATCTCCCGAATAAATATAAAATATTTTTTATCCAATAAAAAATAAATCGAAAAAAATATATAAATATTTTTATCTTTAATTATTTAATAAACATTAATAAAAAATAGAACTATCGGAATTAAAATCAATTTTACCAATATAATATAACAATAAATCAAACTATAATAACATATCATAAATCACAATTAGAATTCCACATAAAACAACCCTACAAATCCTCGTTGAAATTCCCATGGTCGATCCGGACTCACCATTTTATAGTAATAAAATGGTGTCCCCCACCTTTTTTGTTCTATAAAATGGATGATCCCAATTAACAAGATGGACACCAATTCACTATAAAATGGCGAGCCCAGACCGACCAAAACCAACCAAAATAACGTCTTTATAGACCTATAACCTAAAAATGGCCTAACCATAAAATGGTTTATCCCACCCTCCTTCCAGACCTTCATCGTGTCAAGATAAACGCGCAAGCGCACTATTCACCAAAAAAAATTTTTATAAAGGGTCATGTTGGCAACGAAATGTAGGCAATTTTTCTCATTCTTGCTATGCACGGTCTCCATATGTTTCTATCTTAGCCAGTGTCGGATTTTAATAGCCGACACTAGAAGTAATATATACAATACACACCCAATGCTAAAAAAAACAAAAATTAGCAACCCACAAAAAATCAAATTTTACCAGAATCGGATTTTAATAGCCGATATTCGGATTAATATATATAATACCCATTCAATTCTGGAAAAGACCAGCACTAGCAATACACACCAAAATCCTATTTAACCAATGTCGAATTTTAATAATCGACATTTAAAGAAAAAAAATATTAATTGCACCTTTCGGTATTATTTTACACCTTTCGGCATATTAATTACAAATAATATTTTTTTGTGGGCTAGGCGTGTCCAAATTAAAACCCATAAACACCAATAAATCTCCTTAATTCTTTCTATAATATTCTTTTCAAATTGGAATCCAAAGCCTTTAATTTAAGATGTAAAAAAAAATCTTTCAATAAGATAATCAAGAATCCATCCAAAAAAAATTATCCATATATAAAATAATTTCCATTTTTTAATTGTTTTCTAAAAAAACTAATAAATCATAAAACCATTTTATACATAAACCTTAAAAAAATCTACAAATAATTTTTTTACGAGATTTCATTCAAAAAATAACTACAAAAATTAGACCTAATAATAACGCTTAAATATTATATTTATATATAATTATTTTAATAAATTCATTAATTAATCTGTTCGATCCGCCCGTATTAAGCCGCACAACTACGTATAATTCCTTCTAAAAGATCGGAAGCCCATAAGGTGCTTGCAAAGTAAATATTCTCATAGAAAAACAATTTCGAATAAAGCGTCGTAGTCTACAATTATCGTCATATAAAAGGAAATTTAATAAATACATAAATATATATATTTTTATATATTTTATAATTAATTTTATTCTATTTTATATAATTCTATTTTATATAATATAAGAATAATTTATTAATTCATAATATATATATAATAATATATATATAATAAATCGATTATATATTATATTCGATTAACCCATTATAATCAATATTTTTATAAAATTAATCATTTAAACCTAATTATTAATTCCGGAATAACAATATTCCTCCGCCGAACCTTAATTATACATTTCAAACAATATTATTCCCACCGAACCCCAATTCTAAATAACAATATTCTCCCCAACCTCAATCGTCCGCTCCGAATTACAATATTCTTCGCCGAACCCGCCGCCCGCTCCGAATCGCAATATCTCCGCAAAACCTCAACCATTCGCTCCGAACGACAAATATCCCGCAAAAACTCAATCGCCAACTCCGAATAACAATATTCCACGTCGAATCGCCAATACTACAACGTACGATCCCACGCACTTTCCTCCAAAAAACAAATATGACCTAATTATATAGATTAATATATATACATATACACAAATTAAAACAATTTGTCGAAATAATGTAATTTTAGCATTTTATAGAATTATTATTCCATTATTCTATTAAATATATCAAAATATATATATATACAAATATGTATCAATACTAAACACATATTATATTTAGATTAATATTCAAATTCTTGACATTTGATGAAGATTGTAAAGAATCTCCAACAATATATTCTTTTCGAAAAGCCTGCAATGATTCAAGGTCGGGGACAGAAATTCCAAGTCCTTTTCTTACATGATCAAACATGAGGAAAGAACGAGGATGCATTCATTGCCTGTGCTGCTACTTCACGAAGACGGGCTTCTTCACAGGCCAACTTCATGGACTGAAACAATTGCTTCAGAAGCGAGCAAACTAAACATAAATGACAAGTGCGCTTGTGGCCGCAACAGACACAGCTCGCAAGACCAATGCGCGAGAAAGCACTTGAAATTGGCATGTTGACCAACGACATGTTGGAGCCAGTCTTCTTGACTTCGCAACCTTTTTCCTTCACCAAGGCCAAGTCTTTGACAGACTAATACTTGACCTATCAGCCGCCAAGTGCAATCTTGATCGAGTTTGTTTTTGAGTGGAAGATCAAATCAAAAGCACTAAGAATAATACACTGGCAAGTAGTTATGTCGCAACCTGCAATGCGAATGTCCAACTCTTTATTTGCGGCGTCCACATTTTTACGGATCTGTTTGGTGTGATTGTAAGCAACAGCTCTGCCAGAAAGCCACAAATTGAAACCACTCTCTTGAAACTCGGCTACAACACCGAACGGCCGTTGAACCCAAACAGAAGACAAGCCACGGCAAAAATAATAAGATCACCATACCATGCAAATGTCTAGTTATTTTTGGAAAGTGATTTATCACCCTTTACTAATTACACAGAGTGGCTCACTCATGACACATGCTTGATTCGGACCAATTGTGGTGCCTCAAGTACCCTGTCAGGGCAAACAAATGTGACAAAACGGAAGCTTCCTTTGGGAAGATTTCCTCGATTCCTGGTGCTCTTAAGGGCCAGCTGCTGGCGACCAGCATTGGCAAAACAATGTGCGGGTCTTGCCAAAATACTGACGCTGCTCAAGGGCTCAAAGGTAGTACCACATTCAGTCGGATATCCAAAGAGTTCGGTCTTGAAGAGGAATAGGTTGCAGTCCTCAGTTTTGGCTGAACATCAAGTTGACAACAAGAGAGTCACCCCAGAATCCCATAACCTGGGGTGCCCGACCAAGATGGCCCGTCCGGAAAAAGGCTCCTGCCAACTCCAACTTCCAAGTCCACTAGGTCCATCGTCTGCGTGGTGTGTTTGACATGGCTCTAAGTCTGGCTCACTTCTTTTTCAAGGTCACTGAAAAAAACGGAAGCGCAAATTGTCTACTACACTCATTACTCTAAGAAAAACAATTGCATTGTTCTTTAAGCATGTCTGCTCTCTTTCCCTATTTCCATCTTCCCAATTCCTCACTTCTGTCAGAACCGCTGCACCCATGCTAATGGCTGAAGATGCCCATCCTCAAGCCGTGAACTCTTTCAACCTTGAAATCGTAACATATATATATATATATAAACTGTTGTTAAACCATGTTAAACCCAGTTTCAGCCAAGGCCCTGACTCTGAGCTGCTTCAGCAAGTTGCTCAAGTGGATCCTTGGTGGTTTGAAGCAGCAGGTTCAAACACTAGGAAGAGCAAATCCCCCACCTCAGATGTTTGAACTTCAGGCAAATGGCAATGTCTTGCAATCCTTGGACTCCAGGAACAGAACAGTGACCAGGACAAAGAAACAACTCGCTCAAGAACTACCAGTGATCTCAGACTTGGCAAACACAAGCAAAACACATCCGACCTCATACTTCAGCAGCTGTAGCTTTTGACACGGGCAGCCCCAGACTTGGCTCAACAAGTTGCAGTCTTCATTGGAAGAGGAGCAGCTTGATCTGTTCCAATGTCATCCAGGCGCACTAATCCAAGTACCATGTATTTTGATATCGGGTATACGGTAGAACTCTTGCAGCCTGCGTCTGTGCAGAGCAGGAGTGGCTTGATCACGGTCACCCTTCAAATCAAGTTTGAGATCCTACGAGCATCTCAAATACCGAAGACCATCAGGTGACCAAGGTTCATCAAAGTTTGGGTTCAAATGACACCAGCAAGCAATGTTTGACATCTTTGATGAACTCCCTTCAAAATCAAATCAATTTGGCCTCTTTCCCCAAAGTCAATAGAATCAGGACAATTCTTCACTTCTTCCGGTTTTGTACCCTGTCCAAAAAAGTCACACTGAGTGTAGCAAGCGTTGTGCCTGCCTGTCTTGGGGAAAGGGGCAGACCGGGACGCCTCATCACCGGTGTGAAGTACTTTGTACATTGCTCGATGCGAGCGAGTCTTTTGGGTCTGCTTTAGGAAGATGCCGATAAGCCTGGTTCCACTTTGTTGTGCACAAGTGTGTCTACCTTAAAATTATGGAAGAACGGAAAAACATGTTGCAACTGTTCAAAGTCCAACATAAAGGTTTTTTGTACTCATGGCATCTGGGAGAAGCACTATTGAATATTGAAGTTTGCTGCCGTGACATGGCTCATAGCTCATAACTTGCTATCATCCGCCACGGGCGTATCAGTGCAACACCACACAGCTTTGCAGCTCCAGAATCCATGACAAAAGGCACTGGCTTCACCAATGCAGGAGGCCATCTAGACTGCTCTAATCCCATTCATTCTCTCCGCTCTCCTAGTGATTGCGACAAAAACATATTAGTCCGCATATGTATTGCTATCGTTTCTCCACCATTCGAGGAGGCAGCGATCTATCTCAGTTTCCCCAAAGCTCAAGCACCGCCAAGTCGAGCTGTGCGCAAGCGAGAGCGTCTGTCTGGGATGGCCATGGCAATTGCATTGAGCACCTCAACTGCATTGCACTGCTGGACAATCGTGGACAATGTCTATACAGCTACACCAGCTAAGTCAGTCCTTAGTGTTCGTTGTATCCGTGCTCAAGTAGTGACTTCGTTAGCGTCATGCCTGCTTGGATGTCATTACTTTTACGCCAAAAACCGACACATGTCGCAGCGAAAAGCATCTCAGGAACTCGGGCGCTCCTAGCCTCCATAAGATCGTTTACTGTTGGCTGCATCGTTTGGACGGTCAGCTGAGAGTGGTTGATGGTGACGATGATAAAGGGTTGCCTGACCAAGAACCATCAGGCCAGTTCATGGATGTGGAAGGTCATTACATGTAGACTTTAAACTTACTATCCGCGACCCAAATGACACCGGATATCGTATGCAGCCATCATGTCGGTGAAGTTGAGTTTCATTTGTGCTGGGTCTGCAAACGAGTTGACACAAGTTGGCACTGTCAAAGCAACTTCTTCTTTCCTCTTGGTTCATAAAGCAACTCTCTGAGAAAGACGGGCAGAACCATAGTCAACGCCTCTGCATGTCCACGGAGTCGTGTGATCTGCTTCCGAAGATCTGAGGCATAGAGATGACATCAGTGACCACCTCACAGATCAAGACTCGAGACATCTCGAGATCAATTGCCCCTTACACTTGCCATTGTGGCTTTATGCCCTCTTGTAGGTCTTGGGTATGACTAGCTTAACAAGAACGGTTCACAACAACCAAATCAAACATTCGTGGATACACATGCAACAGCACCCACCTGGGGATTCTCCATACTGTCCAAGCTCTTCGCATTTGAGCACAACGCTGCGGACCCAATTGAAACACAACTCATAAATGACAGCAGCTTGATTCAATTTTAACATGTCGCCACTCTGGCTTGGGAGAAGCTTGAACTCGTGCAAACATATCCCGTGCAATCTACCAAACAAAACGACATGGCCGCGCAGCCTCTCTAGAGTCAGCACTGAGGCCGTGTCGGGACTTGTTCAACTTGACGGCAAAAAGGACAGTGCCTGTAGGCAGTGCGACGAGGACTAAGAAGGGGTAGCGAAGTCATGCACAGCTATGCATGGAGAGTTTGGATCGTTCAATATGTGAAGGACGAGGCACCCAAATGTGTATATATATATATCAGAAAGGAGCGCTCTGAGCGGCGCGTTTTTGCATTGTTTCATTTTGTTTGTATTTTGTTTCTATATTTGTATTGCGTTTCTATTGATTTTTGTGCCACTGAAAGAATCCTATTCTGCCTCAACCCCCCCCTCCCCCAAAGGCAATTTTCAAAAAAAAAAAAAATTGTGCCAGGACTTTGCCTCACCCCCTCTTCCCCCCATGGTCTGTGCAGAAGTTATTTTTTTGTTTTTTTTTGGTTCTTTTTGTTTTTTTTGGAATTTTGGAAAATTGGAATTTTGGAAAATTGGAATTTGGGATTTTTGATGTCCTGTGATATTTTAAATTTTCAATTTCCTTGGAAGTAGACAATACTCCCACTTTCCCTCAATTCCAGAACAGTCTCTGAAATCAAATGACAAAAAACCTCAGTGATTTGCTCATTAGGGTCTAATAATGCTCCTTCTGCTCCTTTAACTCTAAAATTGGAAATACCTGACATTTTAGAATTATAACCAGTAAAATTGACATCTGCCATCTTTTCAAATGACATACCAATAATGAATTTGTTCTCTCTGTATTGACGATATGAAAAACTTAAACTGTCTTGATCTGGGTTCATGCAATGTATAGCTCTTCTTAAATAGTAAAAGGTTTCTGATAATGATTGCACTTCAATTTCTGGATATTTCTGGGAATTGCTTAATTGAATTTGCAAACTTAAACTACGGGTGGCATCTTGAAAACCTTTACCTTGTAGGTCATTTGTATCAGCATTACCAGTATCATTAATTCTTCCATAGATCATAGGATTGTAAACATAATTCCATCTCTTATATACATAATTGTCAGGTAAGTATCGGTTTAGATCTTCACCACTTCTTGGAATTCTAAATAAGGTAATGAATGCTCCAGTCAGTTTAGAAGATGATTTTAACATATTCATATTGATTTCACCACCACCAGCATTGAATGTTTGGGTGATTGTGTGATGACAATTTGTAATGTTTCTTATCTTTGCCATTCCGCCCCCTTCTATGTCCTGCCATTCTGACACTCAATGGCTGACAAGTAGCACCAATATAGACATCGTCAGTTTTGTCATTTAGTATTCTGTAAATTTTTGCCTTGGAGTAATCCACCATAAATTTCTAGTAGGTACTAATAACAGATCATCCATAATATCCCTTGTTAAAGATCCATCACGACCACCTGTGCCACTTATGTATAAAGTCTTACCTGTTTTGTAAAATCCACTTGGTGATGAATAGGCGTTCCATAAGCCCCTGCGGTCTTCTATCTTCTCCTTGTTTGCTACATGTTTTCTTCAGCATATAGTGTTCTATGTTGTTTAAAGTGATCATTTAAGTTTCTTGTAAAGTCATTTATTCTATCATTCCAGTTTTGGTTCTTTTTTTCATAATCACTGTAGGTTTCTTGACCGATCTTACTGATTAACATCTGGGCGCTTCCAGGCAGATCCTTCCAGGCAATGTCAGACACATCAATCATTCTCAAGAAAACGCATGGAAAAGGTTGAAACATGCTCATTTTCATCGAAAAACGTGCCGCTCACAGCGCTCCCCTCTCATATATATATATATATCGTTCTACTGAGCTCCACAGTTCCGTCGCTAGGGCTCTCGGCAGTAAACCATCCTCTACTCTGGCCACCAGCACTGCAACACAATGCCTTGGACAAAGCGTTTTCACAAGTTGACACAACGATCCATGACGGAACAATTGCCCTTTAGTGAACGAATTGAATTTGACAGCAATTTCACTTCTTCGCAATCCCTTCGCAGTCAGTTTGCAAAAAAAAGCGTCAATCATAGCAATCCCAACGTCAAATTGGTTTCAGTATGCTGTCTGGAACTGAACAGGACCGCAACTAAACATATCGAACATTCTCTGAGGAAGGCTCGAACAAATGGACTTGAAGCAGCAACTGGTGACCTTGGAAGCGTGCTTAGTCTCCACAGGGAGTTCCGTGCCATTTCCACAAGAAATGTTTCATGCAGGAGCGATCGGACGCTACTAGGGGCTCCTGGCCTTGCTACTGGGAACAAGGTTCGCAACTAGTAGCAAACGGCATCGCTACTAGGAGCAAGGACGATACTAATATTAAATGCAAGGGGATGCAATCACCAGCAACCCCCAATATTAACTGGGGCATGTCAACCTCAATTTCATTTCAAGGATGACATTTCATTTCGTTTGGAGACTCTTGTTTGAAAATGCCTACGTGTTCCAAAAGCCATGAAGAATGCAATACTTGAAGATGAGCACCCTGCTGTTGGTTCTGCACCAATTCGAAAGTCACAAGCACAAATGGGACACTCTCCTGCAACAGCTAGCAAATGATATCATATAATGATTCAAATTACGTGCGCAAGATTGCAAATGCTTGCAACGAGTCCACTGGATTAGTTTGTGCACAAGAGTTCAAGCACTGCTTGAGTTTTTGGTGGTCAACGGCATAAGCCGATGTGCTGAGCCCAGTGGTTTATGAAACAGACTTTAAGACACATACTTTAAAGGAACCTCATAGCGATGATAGCGATGGCCTCCAACCTAATAGCAATGGCCTCCAACCTACGGTTGACACTGAGTCACTGACTCTCAGCTCTCCGGATTTTGGCAGCATTCCTGTTTTCAGCACATGCTCGGCAATTAGACATTTCAATGTTCAATCAACATAGTCCACATCTACATGCATCATCATTACACACATCACCATTCAGCAATGGTTATTCCCCATGCAATCTGGTACCTTGAGTTTACAAAGCCATCAAATTGGCCAGCTTGACGAGTTCCAGCCGACGCAGTCAGGCCGGCAGGCCTGTCGAGAAATGCATCGGAATCGTTTCTAAACCTCTTGCTCCTAGTAGCGATGCCCTTTGCTCCCAGTAGCGTTTCAATCCCAGGACGATTTAGTCTATCTTATGTACATCTTGAATAAATTGTGCCCATGACATTCATGACACGCTGCAGCCTCGAGGGCATCGAGAGTGTTGCACCTCAGATATCTCAGGTGTGTCCCAGCATCCTAGCACACACTGGCCCACAAACACCAAAACACCCGAGCCATAACAAAAGCAAGGACTATAGATCCGCCTAATTACTCTAAATTACTTGCTTTTTGTCTTTCAGGCTAGAACAAACTCTTGTCAGTCCATTGCTAAGCGCCTGTGACGTTCCAGAGTTCTTAGTTCTTCTACCAAATCCAGAAACTAGTGAGCACGTCTTTTTCAGGAGCAATATTCTGACGACACCAAAAGATTGAATCATAAATTATAGTATGAACAATGTTCGCTACTAGGGGCTCCTGGCATCGCTACTAGGAGCCAGAACGCTACTAGGGGCTCCTGGCCGTACTACTAGGAGCAAGGGCGCTACTAGGAGATTTTTCAAAGGCAGCTTTGACTCAAACGAGCTCTGACTATGAACCTTCGAACCAAAGGAATAGCGTGAGCTATCCTGCGTCCTACCTAGGACCTAGGAGCTTACCTCCTTGATCCTCCTTAATTAATTAAGCAAGTGCCTACTTAATTAAGTAAGGAGGCAGGGCAACGGGATGAAAAAACTTAATCCTTTACAAGTACCTTGCAAATATCGAACGTGTTGCCGTCGAGTCAAAGGTGCTGGTTCTGCAAGTCGTGCTGGCGCAAAGCAGTCTCCAAATCCCACTTTCCTGAGGGTCGGCAGTTGTTCTAGTCTCAGAGTCTGCCCAAGTCCTAATCTACCCTTTTCCAAAGGACTTCTCTTCCCCAAAATTATTTCTATTCAGCCTGTTTTAGTTTCATTGACTTTTGTATTCCCTTATAAATGAGTTCAAAGCAATCCAATCCTGCTACTCTCGAGACACGTACGCACACAAACAAAATGTCGGTATTGAACCTCAACCCTGGGGGTTAGGGGAAATTAGTTAGTTTCTCATCTAGAATCTAGAAGCGAACCTTTGCGATTCTGTTCCAAAAATTGCTTTGACACTGTAAAGAGAATGCACCTTTAATTTTGCGGAAGGAACACCAAGTGTTGGAAACTATTACAAAGTCAGAAAAGCTAACTCCAAACCAAAAAGCAACATCGAAAGTCAATCAACCGAGCAGCCAAACAAGCAAGCCACTTCAAAAAAGGAAAACAACCCGGCCAACCAAAGCCAACCAGTCCAGCCACCTCTTTCAATTCAAAGTTGAGCCAGCAGCCAACCAAGCCGCTGACTGCCAAGGGTCAGCAAGAACAACAACCCAAGAACGACAAGAACAAACAATAGGACAAATCTCTTTAGGAGGCACTGCGCTCTCCATCCACGAAACCTCTGCCATGAAAATAGTTTTGCCGCTTTGCCAAACTTTTCAGGTGCAATCCCGCGGCAGCTGCCACAGCCACAGCAGCAATAAGAACAAACTTTTGGTCAATGGATACATTACCCTCTCAAGAAAGTGTTCGCTCTCGCTAACACCGCCCTCTCCAAAACCTTCTAAACTAGATCTTACACACAAGCCCTGCTCAGTAGAGTATGCTTTCAAAATCCTTTGCAACACTAATCTTCATGCAAAACGTTCACCACAAATCTTCACCACCAGCAGCAATTAATCCATACTGCCACGTCAATCAATCGAAAAAGGCTTGTTTCTCCGACCCGACGATACTTGCGCAACGATTCCAGCGCCACCCAGCGGCTCTCCCTTTCAGGGGTACCGGGGTGTCAGTGTATACAAACACAACAATAATATGGGACTGACTTCAGGAGTTAGAATGAATTAACTTCAGAGGTAATTTTTGTCCATCAATCCTTGGTCCAACATAGGGTGCGAAAAGAATTACATCAAGAGTTAATTCTTTTCAAACTTGTTAACTTTGGATTTAATTCTTTTGTGATGTGGTTTCATTGACCATTGCTTGGGACAAAGAGAAAAGGAATTAACTCGACCAGGAAACTCAGTGACACTTTAGTTTGGGACACAAAGAAAACGAATTAACTCTGGATTTAATTCGATTTTAAACAGCTGAAAAGTAGACAGGTTTACACTAGGGAGAGAACACTGGCTCAGTGACACTATAGTTTGGAGCAACAAAAGCGAGAACTAACTGTGGAATTTACAAGTCTGTTTACAGTCCTCTTGGGAGACTCGGAAAGGAAAGTAGGCAGGCCCATGCTGCAAGCCACGACGACCCATGAAAAGAATTAACTCTGAATTTAATTCCTCAAGCGACCATGCCAGAAATGAAAAGATTTGAAACTGGAGTGAATTCCTTAAGTGACCATACCAGAAATGAAACACATCTGGAGTTAACTCCTTAAGCGACCATGCCAGAAATGAACAGATTTAAATCAGGAGTTAATTCCTGGAACGACCATGCGAGCATACCAGAACTGAAAAGAAGTAAATAAGGAGCTAATTCTTAGTAACTCTAGAAAGTACTCCTTTTTGAAGTGAACACCCTCAAAAGACACCAAAGCGCAGCAGAACCGACCAGAACGAAGAAAGGGGCACCGAACCAACAGAGCAAGACACGACAAGATCACCCAGGGCGGAGATAACTACAAGAGGCATAGGCTGATGTAGTTCAATGGCTGTGAATCACGAGTGACAGCAAACCGAATTAGTTCATGGCTCGGGAGTTGCGGGTATTGAGACAGCATCAAATGGTTATTTCTGATAAAACGATAATGCACATTGTCAAAGCAATGTCAAACGAACATTCGGTGCAGAAAAAGTTTCATCCACAAACCTGAAGAATAGGATAAATTAATGAAGTCCTCTGGAATCGTTTGGTCTGGGTGAAATGGTCGTTTACCACACAGTTTAGTTGTACATCATGGAGGGTATGAGCTACACGATCCTGCTGTGGAAATTTCGGTTGGAAGGCAAGGCCGGTTGCATATGCCCGCCAAAACCCAATCTTTGTAAGAGTCCTTTTCGTTGTTCCTACTAGCGATGGCCTCCAGCCTACTAGCGATGCTCCAACCTACAAGCGATGGCCTCCAACCTACTAGTCCTTTTCGTTGTTGAAACCGCGGATAGAGAGGTTCATGGCAATCCTGGAGATCGCCCACCATGGTTTTTGGCTTCAGGACTTTATCAGGGAACGGGCGATTTTGTCCACATCCTAAAAACCATAAATAGTTTCCAGCTTGGAAACAACCACTGTACCTCAAGGTACTGGCAAATCTGTCTGGCTCAATTTTACATTGGGTTGATAGGTCTGTTGAACTATTGCAAAGCAAATTGATGCCGTGCTACCCTGCAGTTCATCGCCCGACCATCGCCGTCACAAAGAAAATAATTTAAGCTTTACACAAAGTTTATACAAACATATAACATTCTATATATGTACCCGTTAACATTTCAAGGTGAACCTGGATTAGTCATTCTCTAACTAGAAAAGTTGGGGCATACACTTTGATCTTGTAAATGGTTTTGGCGTCTAGAACACGCTAGGCGTTCTAGAAAAGCAAGACCTTATCTTCATGATCTTGTCTCTCCAAGGAATGGTCTTGTACGGGTTCCATTGTGAGTTAAATCGTCCGAGTATAAACAAAAACATGCATTTTTGTAAGGCGCCAGAAAGAGTGAATTTTCAAAACAAGATTGATCGCTAGCAAAACGTGAAAAAAAAAACAAAGATGTTCAGCTCTCGCAAAAAAAAACTAAGGACACACATCAATCAAGCAACCAATTTCTAGAGGGCAAAATCTTGCACAATCTTATACTTTGTTTGACATATATACACCATGACACAGCAAGCTTTCCTCATTTCTTTTCCACTCAATTTTTGCTGCCAATTTTTCTGGACAATCATTTTTTCTGGACAACATGGTTTGCACAGTTTGCATAGTCAACGACTGTCTCTAGAAAATGGTTTCCTTATTTTGTTATTGCTGTTCTGCCAAACATCTAGAAAGTGATCTTGTACCTATTTTCATGTCTCATGACTTTCAAGCATAAAGCAGCTTCCTCTAGGAATTGGTAGGGCATGGACAAAACGTGTGATTATATAATCCATTAAACATACAGTTTTGTAGAAAAATATAGAAAACGGTGAGGCTCTACCAATACACTAAATCATGTGTTACTAGAAACTGATACCTTTCCATATAAAGGACTTGGGTTGAACCATTTCCTAGAGGAAATCCTAACTGGGATCACTATATAATACTATATATATATACATACATACATTGTTCGCCCTGAGAACAAGCTTCCCTTGGCCAGGAGCTCGCAGGCATCTCTGAGGCTACACCCCAAGACATCTCGTACAGCCCGAAGTAAGCCTGCTCGTTCGCCTCAGGCAGATAAATGTTTGGAAGACGAATCCCGGGCAAAGAACTGAAAAGTGACACGAAAAGTGGAAAAGTGAGACCTCCTATGGTACCACTTTTAGAGGATTGGAATGCACATGCAAGAAATAGGTTGGGCTGCGGTGGTGAAACCTACCTGTGGAACTTTAGAAAAAGGCAACATGCTCAGCAAAGGAGCCTCTGCGGTAATCTTCACAGAGTTCGAAAATCCAAGGGAGCAAAATCGATGCCACAAACGCCATGGGCATGGGCTCCTGCGCGAGGATAAGCTGCTGGAGAGTTCTTGAGCAATCGATATGCTTTGTGGCCTTGGTCTCACGCATCAGAAAACGGAGAGACTCCAGCAGGCTATCCCAGGCACGCTGATCTGTGGAAGTGCCTTTGAATGCAATCACCAGATCAGCAAAGCTGGCAGTTGTCAAACGTTGTGAAGCTGCTAAATCCAGAATAGCATCCCTGAAACTGGACGCTTCTTCAGCAAACGGTTCTGTACCTTTGTCCATTGGATCTCCACCAAGCCGTTTCTGAAGTTCATGCATAGCTTGCCAAAAGCAAGGAAAGTAAACTACAGCAGACGACAACCCATCAGCCTTCCCTGGCTTCGGTTCGTTGAAAAGGAAGTCCACATCCACTTGTAGCATCTGAACAAGCACGGGCACTTGAATCTGCTCGTCCACACGTAGAAGTTGCAGTGCTTTTCGCTGGGAACAGCGTTGTGCCCCTGATTCTGCGATCAAATTGCCCACCATTGCAATGGCAGCATCCAAGCATTCTGCCTGGCAAAAGCTTAGACTGCTGCTCTAAGATGCTTCAGGGCAATCTGTTGCTCTGCAGTTTCTTGGACAATAGCTGTCCTGCTAGTGTCGCATATTCTGTTGTTGGGGACCCGCGCTCGAAAGACTGCCCCATCCGGTTCAAGACTCCTCCATTGCTGAAGAACCTAGGCACTGAATGTCAGATGCTCCGCATGAGAATTGACATGAAACTTGATGTCTGGGACATGAACCAAATCAATGTCTTCCATCTTGGGATGCGCTGAACCTTGGCGACGACGAACGGGTCACCAACAGGGCCACCCCCGTGGACTCCTTCGCAAACTGTCAAGGAATAAACCCGGCAACAATAGTTTCTTCTTTTGAACATCAATGACTTTGCTGGGGACAGTTCACAAAGAGCAGTAAATACTGAACAACATGCCCACTCCACACTTCGCACACCTCCAAAAGGAGTGAGAAACTTATGCACTTCATATTCGTTGGGGCACTGCATTTGTTGAATCAGGGCACACCTCCGATTTCACGAATTGCAGCAATTCTACCAAGTTGCGAACCCCCTTCGGAAGAAATTGTTGAACCCGCCGCGAAGAGAATTGAGGCGGCTGCGGAGTGAACCCATTCAAGCAGTGTCTCAAGGCACTGACTTCACAAGAATAGTCTGGATATGTGGTGCCATACCCTGATTCATTCATTTCGTGAGTTCCTTGAAGAACAAATCATGTCAACCCAGAAACGACATGCGACTGAGTTTAAATCGCGATTCCAAGAAAATTGGTTGAAGAAACATTGAACCTCCATCCTCGAAGATGTTGTGTCATCATGAGGGAAGGTTGGACGCTTCTCGCGAGGTAGCTGCGCCACCTTCGAAAAGCCATCGTCTGAGTGCCAGTGACAAAACATGTGCACACCAATATAAACCTGTCTGGATATTCATGCACAACTCATACAAAAAAACGTCTCCCCGCAGAACACATTGCTGATAACAAACAATATCTGCATGCTGTGTGTTTGGCGCATCTTGATGCCTTCATGCACGTACCGTTAAAGTCACTTGAGCAAAACTTGGTTTCATAAAGGGTGCCTTGGTCCGAAACGGTGCCACAGCTGGGCCAATAAAGGATTAACACAACCCTCAAATGTTCTTCAGAGATGTTCAAGCAGCTTGTCAGAAACATGCCCTGCATGTTTCAATGATGTATGAAGTTTGTCGATATAGACTAAATGTGACATGACATGTCTGACATGTATGCTGAAACTTGGGCTTGCTTACGCTGCTTACGCAACTCATCTCCTCGAAAAAGCTTAGGCAACCTTAAGCGCACCAAGGTTTTGCTGACGCAAACCATTCGTACGACAACCCACCACAAAACATGAAGAGGAAGGTTTATAGAGCCACTCAGTTGTAACTCAAGACCTCACCAACTAGAGAGCAAAGGCGGCGGACGACTGTGAGTGAGTGCGAATATATACGTTCTTTCTTTTTTGGTGTTTGGATTTGGAAGTTACTTCGTTGTCGACACGTTCCTTAGTATTTTTCATGCAACACTTATTTCTCGATGTCAAAGCATCTTTACAAAGCAGAAGGCTCTAGTAGGGACAAACAAGCAAGCAAATCGTACTGCAATTACAACTTGAGGCTACCCAAAAGACATTTCATACACGTGCCACGTGGGTGAAGTTGAGCAAATGTACTCCATGTGGGAGGCGCATGGCCCAAGTGAACCCGGATCCCTTTTGAGGGCTTGCAACATGTTGGTCTCTTTCGACGAATTAGAGTCATTCCCAATACTACCTAATAGCAATGGCCTCCAACCTACTCACAGGTGCTGCAACCATTTTTCACCTCTTGTCTCGCGACCTTCTTCCCGGGGATTTCAGCCCTGTTTCTGCTACAGCTTTCCTTATGTGAACTAACTACTGTCAGCAGCTCATTGCTTCCTGCCCACAGAAGGTAATTCTAGTGGGAAGGGCTCTGCATAAGTTGCATCTAGGGGTGTTGGTGCTGGGTGGTCCATGTGCTCCCCGATCAGGTTTTCAGGGAATAGCACCCGCTATGCATGTTACTCAACTGTTCATTCCATTTCTGAGTGAAACTTAGTCTAAATTCTAATAGGACGCTACTAGGGGCTCCTGGCATCGCTACTAGGAACAAGAAGCTATTAGAAACAATAATTAGTATTAGAATTTACATTAGAATTTCCATATTTAGTGGGTTGCATGACTTCCACCTTTCTGAGGCTTTTGCTGCAGGTGACCCTTCAGAAACACCGCGTAATGAGTCGGACACATAGGCCGCCTGCAAGCATGCTTGGTCTGTCAAACTGCCAATCCAGCAGCAAAATTTCCTTGCTGCTCCCATGTCTCAATTTACTAATTATATAGATAATATATATATACACACTAGTCTATATAATTATATGTATATACATATATATTCGCATCTTGGTGTTTCCGCAAAAGCCTCAACCAAGACCACAAGGTGGTGTCTTCGATTTTTGCAGGCATTTGAGTAAGTCGGTGGCGTCCGCTTCAGTGATGCATTTGGATGCCCGTTCATGGTTGCTTGCCCTGCGTAAATCAAAAAGTCAAGAACATATAGAATCGACTGGTAGCACCCTTTGCTCTCTTTCACTTCAGGACTCGGGACCAAACACTAGTTTAAACAACACATGTAAATGCACCCTGTGGCACCATGGCGAAAAACCTAAGATGCCACAACCATTCCTGGATCCAAAGCGTTTTCGCATCATGTTGGGGAATGGGGTGAGTGCAAGGCTTTTAAAGGTTGTCGAGGATCAAATGCCACAGTAAGTAAGGTCCCAATTTCAGTCCCAGAAATCACTGATGTCCGGAGGGCACTTTGAAACGTTGCCAACTCCGTTGCTGCTGCCCTGAAGCAATCACAGCACCGATCGCGGGCTGCAATCTTGTTCTTGGAAAAGCACCACAGAATCACATCAACATTGAAACAAATGAACAGTACAAACACAAGAAGCAAATGCAAGCTGCAAGAAAATCAACCCAAATCTAAATCGAATGACACTTCAGCTGCATCCTTTGGCTGAACATGTCCCTTGAGCTACGTCGTCTCGG